TATACAGATCCCAGAAATGATGCAAACCATTTTTACTTGGCTTATAACCCACTGAAACTTCACCTGCAACTCACCTTTTAAGGTGAGCTTTGCATTCTTTAAAAATGATAGTGCCCAGGACCAAATCTTCATGTCATTGTTTTATTTAGGGTTAGGTATATTTTGAATTATTTACCACAAAACAAAAGTCATTTATTAAACAATTATTAACAATTATTGTTTATTAACCAATTCTAATTTGAAACATCATTTGGAAACCTACTGAGTCTACACCAGGCTTTCCAGGGCCAGTGATCATGCACTTCTGACCTATTCCATTTTCAGATCATGGAAGACCAGAAACAAAGTTCAAACAAAAGAACAACTTAAAAACATAATGGAATAGAGACATCAGAGCTTAGAACTTCTCTGTATCATAGATAAGCCATAGATGACAACATAGAAGGAAAGGAAGAAATATGAAAAAGGGTAAGAAGAGGAAGAAAGAAAGAAACTGAACCAAGATACAAATACTCTAAAAGGAACCATTTAGAGAAAAGCATATTTGAATTGGGTCTGGTTTTTTTTTTTTTGCAGGTTGTAGCCCCTCCCTAGCATTGACCTCATACCCTCTGACCCTCTTTTGGGGGTCTGACAACACCTCTACTGCATGAAAACTGCTCTCTTTACTGCTGATGCCTGTCTCTATTGGCTCTGTTTCTCCTTCTCATCTAGCTCCATTGGATCCCTAAAGGCCTTGGGACTACTTTCCACCCCACTGGGTCACAGCCTCCTCTCTACCTGTCACTGATTGCACACTTCATTTAGAAGAGCTCTGAAGTGCACAGGAGGGAAAGTGGCCAGGCTGCTACATTCTTCTGCATCCCTCAGCTGTAGGGCTCCATCCCAGAAACCAGCGCCATTTTTGGAGCAGCCACAATTCATTTTAGTCACTCCAAAAATGGTGCCTGCTTCTGGAAGAGATTCATACAACCTAGGGATGGAGCAGCCTGTTCTGAGGTTGCATTATTAAGCAGAGCAGGCTACTCTGTCCCTAAGCCACATGGCTCTGTTGCAGAAGCAGGGGTCATTTTCAGAGTGCCTGTAATGTATTGTGTCCCCTCTGAAAATGGCACCTGCCTCCAAGATGGAGCCATGCGGCCCAGCAACACCAAGTGACATAGTGGCCTGCCCTTTTTCCTCACATGATCTCTGGAACTCTTCTAAAGGTTAAGTGCGCAATTGGTGATGGGGAGTGGGGAAGAGGCTGTGGGACTCAGGACTTGAGGGACAGGAACAGATTCCAGGTTTCTAACTGAATAGAATTCTTTATTGGCTACGTGTGTTTGGACACACAAGGAATATGTCTTGGTGCATATTCTCTCGGTGAAGGCTCTGGATAAGAAAGAGATGAAGTTTCATATAAAGCCGTTTCCTGAGTAAAAAAATGATTTGGCAAAAGGAAAGGAAGGTTTCTCAGTCATAGATGTTACCTTGGAAATAAATACATTTCCTTATTACATACAATGACTAAAGTTAAGGCCAACACAAAGTACTTTCACTTGTTTGTGAAGTGCTCTTATTTATGGTATCCGTTTAAAAGCAAAAACAAACTGAATTGTTCAAATTGAGCTCAATTCCTGGTGACTTTAAAACATCTATGTAATTTTCCCAGGAGCAATACAGAAAAGATTTTGTCTTTTTCTGAGATTTTTCCAGGCCAATTTATAGCCCAAACTTTCCTGCTGGTCTCCCACCCAATTATTAATCTGATCTGGCCTGTCTTGACTTTTCTTCAGCCAAAATTGGTCAGGTACTACTGGATAAAATCACCTCTGATTCACACTTTTAGCATCTTACCCTTAAATAGTCAATAGAATACTGTCCTGGCTTTTGAAAAGAAACAAACCTTTGAACCAGTCTTGACAATAACCTTTGAAATTCAGAAACCCAGGGGCATTTTTCTCAGATTTCATTTCATTCTTGGGATACTGGGATATTATAACAAAATCATGAAATGTCTAAAGTGAAGTAGCTATTCACAGAATGCTGGGACTCAGTCATTGATTCATCAAAGCACATTATACATATATGGTCTCAAAGCCAGTGGTTGTCTGACCTGTTGGATCAATGATTCAACAATGCCATTATGGATCACAGCTTCTTGGAGAAGTGAAACATCTCTAAAGAAAAGCCAGAAAGTCCAGTTGCCTCTTGAAAAAGCACCTTTGGGACAACCATGACCTGGATGACTGAGAAACTCCAGAAACATATTTCCTTCTGGCTCGTCTGGGGAATTTTTTAATGTATTCATGTCATCTGCTGCTCCTATGTTCTGCCACTACATGTCCAAATTTTGCAATTTGTTGCAAAAAATGTTTGAAATAGCTGGTTTAAGTTTGTCCAGCTGGAATTCTACTCTTCTGGCATTTCAAATGTAAAATATTACTTTCTGCTGAGCAAGAATATGTACAAACCTTACAGCAGCTCTTTTTGGGCTGTGTTTTTAGGAGTAAATGCTAGCAGCTGCCTTAGTAGGAATTTCTCGTGTGTGTGTGTGTGTGTGTGTGTGTGTGTGTGTGTGTGTGTGTGTGTGTGTGTGTGTGTGTGTTTTAATATCTTTAATGTTCCCATTCCACCAAGCTAAAACAGTATCTTTTGTTTTGTTGTTTCCCACAGCTAATCAGTGCCAAGTTGCCGAAAACAAAACATAATTTTGGTGACTGAACCTGCAAAGTTCTAGATTGCTGACAGAAATTTAGACAATTTAAAAGAGATTTTAAATATTTCTGAAGAAATCTTGATTATATCAGTAGGCTGACCAAAAATAATTAGTTTAGTAGCCTTCCCTAGAAGTTACTGAAAAGAATGTGGGAGATTGGGAGTTATTCTAAACAAGGGGAGTGAGGGGGAATGAGAGAGAAAAATGTTTTCATACTTAAGAGCAAAGGAAGAATATCTATCACTATCACTGCAAAAATGTTTTAAAAATAATCTGTAGCCAGTTTCTCTACAAACAGGTTTGGAGCAGTCAGGGGGCCTACCACCATATTTTTTTTGTTACTGTTATGCTTGGGGTGGGGGAAGGAAAGAATCAGGAAACAAGGGGCTTGCTCAGAATTCCTATAGCTTTCTATGTCCACAATACACAAAAACGTGTATGTTTTCATATAGAGATAAGGTAAGCCAGAAATGGCAAGTAATTCTGAAAATCTTTAAATTCTGATCTTTTTTTTTTCAGGTGCAGGTGCATTCACAGGACTAATGAAAGGAAACATGGAAGCAATGTGTGCTGCTGTATCTCCTGCTTTAAGAAACAACTATGAGTGTTCAACACTCAACATTTGTATCAGTGCAGAAATGCATCCTGAACACAGTATTTTTGACTGGGTGACATAGTAATTAAGAAAAGGTAATGAAAGAGCGATTATTAATTACTAGAAAGTAATGAACAGTAACTCTATTCTGGAAATATACCGTGTGGTATACTTGCCATATACTGTAGTTGAACTACCAACTCCCATGTAAAGGAACACTCTATAAAGACATGCTGTGTTATCAGAACTATCAATGGTTTATGAATACAGCGCAACTATGTGCTCTATGAAGCTTCCTTGTCTTATACTCATGATGGTAGGCGTCAGCTATGCTTGGGGAGTACCCGTTGATTGAAAATGTATCACCTGAGTGGGACTTATGTACACAATAAAACTGCAATAATAAATGGTAGCCAATGCATATTATAGCAAAATATAATAGAAACCTCCTTTTAGCAGTCTTTGCAAACCAAACAAAATTCCAATAAAGACTTTGTCTCCAGATTCTGTATAGTATCTGTTGTTTGCAGAGCAGTCATGACAATGGTCCCTTCTCAATCAGCTTCACTGGAGATTTCAAATAGGCGGAGCTTCAGCCTCCTCTGCATGCATTGCATGACATTTCTGTCTGGAGAGTCACAGCACTACTACTGCAGTCACTACCACCAAAACATACTCAGCACTCTCACTCACTCTCATAATAGATGAGATGCACTCCTATCTTTTGAACACAAGATAGGATCAAGGTCCAAACAGTCCCTCTGTATCTTGGTATACATGATTTTTGCATCTACCATACTGTAGATATACAGATGTACTGTACTACCTTACAAGGGCAACTTTTCACTCTCGTGAGGGTTCACTCCTCAATCTTGAATGCTTTCTGCTCCTCTTTTGCCTGCCACTTTCCCATCCCCCTCTACCTTCTTGAACATAGAAAAGGGAAGAAGAGAGCTAAGCAGATTCTTTGCATCTTCTTGGTGCAACCATGCTTCTACCTCGTCACTTTCCAAAGGTGACTTCTCTTTGTCAATCAATGCCAAGAATTTCAAACATATCTTCTTCCACTCTGCTAACTTCACTAGTATAGGTATATTCTTTATCTCATGTCAGAAGGTACTTTCCCCCCTCCAACTCCTCTTGATTTGCCATAAATCAGAAAAAAAGAGTAATTGTCTTTATTTCATCTTCTACCCCTTCATGAATTATATTATTATATTATTCTATTTCCCTCTTTGGCTTTAACATGCATTCTGCTATCCTATCTCTTCCCTGAATTGTCTACTACTGTATATATGGATACAACCTGTGTTGTTGCCATGCTAAGATTTGTTTTTCTAAAATTGATCCTTATGTGTGAGTGCCATCTTGTGGTCAAATTATTCTCATCTTATTTGTGATTTAGGCCTGCACTCCTACAAATGCTGATGGGAATAAACTGGATTGAATTTATAATTTTTTCTTTCATGTAAATATATATAGCAAGATCAAGACATAAATAACTTTAGTTTCAGTAACTCCTATTCTTAAGGTTATTAATTTTACAGGTTAATACGGGAAATGAATTTGATAAGAATATGTTCTGTGACTGACATCATCAATGATGAAAATAAAATAAAATCATACTGTAATTGTGCATACCGTTTAAATGTTTGAAAGCATTTTCATTCAAGAATAAAAATTGAAATAGACACAGCTCAGGAATATATTTTTAAAATGTATTTTGTAAATAAACACTGACCACACTACTCAAGACTAACTCTTCCACCACTGATTTCAAAAACAGTTATTGTTTTGGTTCAGCACTTTTAGTCTCCTTCAACATTTCTTGCCAATTTTTCTCCATTTCTTCCTTACAAGTAAGAAAGGCATCTTCCAGACGTCTCATTGAATTGGCCAAGTCTGGATTAGCGCGCATTACCACCATATCATAAGCCATCCAAGTAGCCTGCACTGGGACAACCCAACAGATAAATTCAGTGATTCAATGTGTGAATTTGAACGGGATGAATGAGAAAGTAATAAAAAAATAAACAGTAACAGAACTGCCAATTCTAATTCTAAATATTTTTTTCAAATATGGTATTTAAGGATTCAAGCCGATGCTTGCAAATTTTTGTATTATGCTACAGAAAATAGTTTATTCATCTATTGTTTTCCATTTCACTAATCACTAATCATCAGGGTAGTTCTGTGTCACAATTTTTAATTATAAAAAGTTGTTGTTTTGACAACATGTACATTCCTGGTTAATTTTTAACATGGATACTATGCTGTAATGCACAGATATGATAAACAAATTTGTTAAATAATTAATCTCACAATGTTAAGTTAGTCCATTAAAAACAGTAGTGTAAATGAATGGATTAGGAATTGCTCCATAAAAAGGAAGTTAAAATCTCTTCTCTGAAATGCACTCCTGATGAAAACAGGAGTATGTCAAGGGTTTTTTGTTTTGTTTTTTTGCATAATCTGATTTACATTATCAGTGTAAATCTAAACAGTGTTACATGTTTAGAATGTCTAATTACAGATACCAAATTTTTATTTGTAAAATGTTTTAATGAGAGCAAAAGCAATCAGTCAAATGACTACCCTATTTAACGACCATTTGAAATTACAACAGTACTGAAAAAATAACTTTTATGACCAGTCTTCATACTTATAATCATTGGAGTGTCCCTACAATCACATGATTGAGATTTAGGTGCTTTGTAATTGGTGGGCATTGTCACAGCATTCTGCAATCACATGATCACCATTTGCCAGCTTCTGACAAGCAGAGTCAATGGAGAAGCTTGCAGTAAAATTGAAAGTTGCAATCATGTGATGTCTTGCTTAATGACTGTGGGTAATTCACTTAATGACTGCCATGGAAGTGAGATCATAAGTCCATCAGGGTCATGTAATATTTTGCTTAGCAACCACATCATTCAGCCTTATTATTGGAGTTTTTCTTCCAGAGTTTTTTTTAACGCATTAACATTTCCAATAATACAATATTCTTTCATGAACTGGAAAACCTAGTCTGGAAAGAAGGATTTCAATACAGAGACATAATGAATTGAAGATATTTAATGTTTTCCCCCAACATATTATCTGCTTCCTTGACAACTATTTTCCCATATGTTTTTAAAGGCCCTTAATACATATGGAACATTTTATATGGAAAGGCAGAAAAAAAAACCTGCCATGTTTAACCAAGATAGTTAAACAAAAGTTTGCATTCTTTACTAGTGTGTTTATAATTGGATCTGCACATTTGCAAAATAGTGACATTTCCTATAAAAATTATTTTAATTTAGTACTTTTTTTCAAAAAAATTCTTCTGAAAAATGAAAAGTAATTTTGGTACTTAAGTATTTATGGAAAAATACTTAAATGAGCAATTTTCCTGGAAAAGCAAAGTAACAAAGTTCATAAGAACCAGGGTGGATAAAAATCAATGGTTTTTTTAAAAAAATCAAAAAAAATCAGATTTTTTTGATTTAAATCGGATTTTTTTGATTAAAATCAGATTTTTTTGATTTTTATTGAATTTATTTTAATAAAAAACTTTTGGGGTAAAAATCTATCGTAAGATAGTTTTCTATTTAAGATACATAAATAATTTAGTTTATTCAGCATGAAATGGAGCTTAGTTATGTAGCATGAGGCTGTATATTCTGCAACACTGGGACTATCGGTGAGTCAACAGTGGGTGAAAGGAGTAGCAGAGATGACAGTTGCTCTTTAAAAATTATGATTTAAATCGAGTTGATTTAAATCAAGCCTTTTTACTAGTGATTTAAATCAACTCGATTTAAATCAAATCCACCCTGCTAATAAGCATTGTAATTCAAATGAACATCTACAAAAACTGCAGTAAATTCTTATTACTCTGAATTGACAATTTGTTAGCAATATATAGATACACTTCAGGATTATGTCACACCTGATAATTTTTCCATGTCTTCCAGAAGTTTTTCCAAATCCCTGTTCAAATCCTCAAGCATTTTTACCATGTTATCATAACTTCTTTCGCAGGGTTCACATTTAGCCATCTAATAGAAAACAAATTATATTAATAGTAGTGCACCGTGTGAAACCTATATTTGATGCATGCAATAAAGTGATGGTTTTAATATTTTTTAAATATTCATTTTAAGCATTTTATCAAAGCATAACCTAGAAATAAATAAAAATCGTTCTTGAGTACAGACCCAATCAGGTTTCAGAGGGCACTTAAGATTCTTCTTAAGTTTGATTGAGGCCCTGGTTGCTGCTTGAATAAGACAGTGGTGACGCCTTCAAATAGATCACACCACTGCATTCTTCTTGTGCAGACTCTGGCATGTTTCCTGGTTTCAGGAGGATCTTGGAAGGATCTTTGGTGGGTGAAGCAGCAGAAGAAATGCCCACAGCATTTCTGAGATGAGAATACCTGCAGTTCTGCTGTAAATAAGTATTCTCAGCACCTTGTGTTTCAAATTGCTTGGATTTGTTCCAAGTTAGACTCCAGCTGAGCAAGTCCTATGGATTTGACTGATCTAGATCCTGTGTTATCTACAATTACTTTGATCCTTAGTAGACTTGAGGAAGTGAATAGGGTCCTTGTTACTGTGGACACAGTACCTATAATTTTGATTCAAGACCAGGAAGGTGGCATAAGGGTGGATCTGTCTAGTGGCAAATTCTTCCTGATGCTTGAAACAGGCTATGGTCTATGCGCCTTTGCAAGAAGAAATCATCACTGGATCCTGCATATCTGGACAATTTTCCTCTAGTCTCCAACATGTTTTCCTAGGAAGGCCCAAGTTTTAAAAAGTCCTGGAAGAAATGGATTATGTGGATCTTTTCTAGTCAAATACAGTCCAACATATAGTCCTGAGAAAATTTTGGTCACACTTGTAGATAAATTTTGGTGGGCTCAAGATGACAGTAATTCATTCATCCTATCCTTTTTTTTTTACCTCTCAGCAGCCTCCAATTCCATTAACCATGGTAATCCTTTGGACTGGTTTAGTTGATTGAGTACTGTCCTGCAATGGTCTTCTCCTTCCTTCAGGTCCAGCTCCAACCAGTGTTATTGGAAGGAGAGCAGTCTATCCCTAGGCCCCTGCTTTGTGGGGGGGTTTTCTCTCCTTTTTAACATTAGGGTGCAGTTTTGCCACCACACTGATGATATTCAATTTTACATTTCCACCATAGCTGCTATCAAGTGATGCTAGCAAGCTTCTGTCACACTATTTAGAGGTTATGGGATCTGGATGGTGAACCACAGACTCCAGTTCAAATGCAATTTTAATGCATACTTCATAGAAGCATAATTATTTTTAATGATGGATAAGCTACTTTAAATGAAGCAATTTATTTTTAAGCCAAATCTGAATGTGGGTCATTCTCTATCCCAATTGCTTGGAATTTGATTGTGGCTTTACTTCATAAAAATTATTTATATCATAACAATTTTGGATTGTGCTTAGTGTATTTAAGCGGAGAGATATTGAACATGGTATCCTTCTAGACAGCAAATGAAATTTAATATAATTGAACTATATAGGCAGACCTCTTTACATATTTCAAAACTGAAAATTGCTCTCCACTAAATGATTGTCATTTTTCTTCCAACTTCAATTTATATACTCTGTTTCCCCCAAAATAAGATATCCCCTGATAATAAGCCCAATCGGGCTTTTGAATGCATGGCAATAAGGCCAAGCGCTTGTTTCAGGGTTCAAAAAAATATAAGACAGGATCTTATTTTCGGGGAAACACGGGTGTGTATACATAATAATGATTTCGTTTAATTTATACCCCAATCCGACATAGGTTTTCATGGAACTAAGGTCAATGGAGTAAATATCCTGTTATCTATTTGTATCAAGTCCCTACTTAATCGACTTGAATTTACTTGCACATAAACATATGTTTTTGATAGCAGCGAAGTATATACCACTGAAGTAAAAAAATAATCTGAATGATAAATGATATTTGAGCAATGTTAAATGTAACACACACATATACATATACACACATGTACATATACATATACATATACATATATTCATACATACATACTGTACTTTGCAGTGTTTTGCCTGTACTACAAATATACAAGTAAAATGCTAAAACAAAATCACTAAGTTTTGCATTATCTAAATAAAACTACTTTAATTCTGCAATGCCCTACTTATATATCAATATATTCATAATTAATTTAATGGATGTTTATTAAGCTTGCATATAATACAATATAGTCACATGAATCTTAACATTTAGTCAGAAGTCTATGGTAATCAATTTAATAGGACTTCATACAAAGAAAATTACATTTAACATTGCTCAAATATCATTTATCATTCAGATAATTTTTTTACTTCAGTGGTATATACAGGTGAAACTCGAAAAATTAGAATATCGTGCAAAAGTTCATTTATTTCAGTAATGCAACTTAAAAGGTGAAACGTATATATGAGATAGATTCATTACATGCAAAGCGAGATAGTTCAAGCCTTGATTTATCATACTTTTGATGATTATGGCTTACAGCTCATGAAAACCCCAAATTCACAATCTCAGAAAATTAGAATATTGTGAAAAGGTTCAATATTCTAGGCTCAAAGTGTCCCACTCTAATCAGCTAATTAAGCCATAACACCTGCAAAGGGTTCCTGAGCCTTTAAATGGTCTCTCAGTCTGGTACAGTAGGAATCACAATCATGGGAAAGACTGTTGACCTGACAGTTGTACAGAAAACCATCATTGACACCCTCCATAAGGAGGGAAAGCCTGGAGAGGATTGTCAGGAAAAGGCCATTCAAAAGTGTTGGGGACTATCACAAGGAGTGGACTGAGGCTGAAGTCAGTGCATCAAGAGCCACCACACACAGACGGATCCTGGACATGGGCTTCAAATGTCGTATTCTTCTTGTCAAGCCGCTCCTGAACAACAAACAATGTCAGAAGCGTCTTACCTGGGCTAAAGAAAAAAAGAACTGGTCTGTTGCTCAGTGGTCCAAAGTCCTCTTTTCTGATGAGAGCAACTTTTGCATCTCATTTGGAAACCAAGGACCCAGAGTCTGGAAGAAGAATGGAGAGGCACACACTGCAAGATGCTTGAAGTCCAGTGTGAAGTTTCCAGTCTGTGTTGATTTGGGGAGCCATGTCATCTGCTGGTGTTGGTCCACTGTGCTTGACAATGCAGCCTTCTACCAGGAGATTTTGGAGCACTTCATGCTTCCTTCCACAGACGAGCTTTATGGGGATGCTGACTTCATTTTCCAGCAGGACTTGGCACCTGCCCACACTGCCAAAAATACCAAAACCTGGTTCAATGACCATGGGATTACTGTGCTTGATTGGCCAGCAAACTCGCCTGACCTGAATGCCCCATAGAGAATCTATGGGGCATTGCCAAGAGAAAGATGAGAGACATGAGACTGAACAATGCAGAAGAGCTGAAGGCCGCTAGTGAAGCATCCTGATCTTCCATAATACCTCACCAGTGCCACAGGCTGATAGCATCCATGCCACACCGCATTGAGGCAGTAACTGATGCAAAAGGGGCCCAAACCAAGTACTGAGTATATATGCATGCTTATACTTTTCAGAGGTCCGATATTGTTCTATGTACAATCCTTGTTTTATTGATTTCATGTAATATTCAGAGGAGCCCTGGTGGTGTGGCAGACTAAAGCACTGTTATTAACATCAGCTGCCTGCAATTACTGCAAATTCAAATCTCACCAGGCTCAAGGTTGACTCAGCCTTCCATCCTTTCTCAGGTAGGTAAAATGAGGACCCAGATTGTGGGGGCAATAAGCTGACTTTGTATAAAATATACAAAAGTATGAAGGCTATTGCTTAACACATTGTAAGCCGCCCTGAGTCTCCAGAGAAGGGTGGCATATAAATCAATTTAAAAAAAATATATATTCTAATTTTCTGAGATGGTGAATTTGGGGTTTTCATGAGCTGTAAGCCATAATCATCAAAATTATGATAAATCAAGGCTTGAACTATCTCGCTTTGCATGTAATGAGTCTATCTCATATATTAGTTTCACCTTTTAAGTTGCATTACTGAAATAAATGAACTTTTGCATGATATTCTAATTTTTCGAGTTTCACCTGTACTTCTCCGCTGTCAAAAACATATGTTTATATGCAAGTAAATTCAAGTCAATTAAGTAAGGACTTGATACAAATAGGTAACAGGATATTCATTCCACTGACCTTAGTTCTATGAAAACCTATGTCGGATTGGGGTATAAATTAAACCAAATCATTATTATTTCCCGCCCATGAAGGATAACATAATTTTTATACAGGACTTTTAAAAAACCCTACGGAATAAGCTGCTCACCGCCCCCGTGATTGTGGAAGACTGGCTTAATTTTTTTACAATACATTTCGCTGAGGTTTAACACACACGACACACACACGAGAAAGGAAGTAAATGTTTTAGGTAAAATAAGATATACTGGATCACCGGTTTTGGCGTTGAGTGGAGTCGAAGAAACGAGAACTTCCTCCAAGACTTCTCAACTACTGCCAAACGACGGAGCTAGAAAGACTAGAAAGCGAGGACACGCAGGACTTTGAAAATACCCATAAAAGTGTTTTTTGCCCCCTTGAGTGTGTCGGAATGAGGACGGCGGCCGTGGTCCCTAGCAGCGCTTTCTCGTCTTCCAAATAACGGCCTTTGCACAGGGAAACGGTCGGGGCTAAATTAAACCTAAATAGGGAGGGAAAGGGAGGGAGTCAAGCCTGCCTCCTCTCGACCGCCCTCAGTTCAGCGGACCCCCTCCCGCCCTGGTTTCCCAAACGGCTTCTAACGGCCTGCCCGTTCCCCTTCGCAACCAGTGTGGGCCCGACCTGCTTCCCTTGGGCCCCCTGAATCAGCCGCCATGGGCTGACCTACCTTCTCACCCGCCATCCCTCCACCCACTTCTCCGGGGCCGCTACGGCTGGACCTCCGCTTTGCCCGAGGAGGAAGGAGGCGGCGCGGTTGATGTGCGAGACGCCCCCGCGCCTCTTTTCTCTGCTGCCGCAGCGGGAAGATCCCTGAGCGTTTGCACCCGGTTCTTCTGCCCACAACTTTCATCGGACGTGTAATGTTAAAGAACTTTTCCGCGTACAGTAGGACGTTTATTGTCTCATGACACGCAAGTTGAATAATTTTGTCTTTCAATTGAGAAAAAAAAATTCGTCTATTCTGCATCAAGCATTCTGTTCTGATTTGATTTTCTTCCTCTAGTGTTCATTCATAGAACTAGGTACTAGGTAGGTTTATGATAAAAAAAATCAAAATTGGCTTTTAAGAAGAATATTTATTTTTATAAAACTCATGGATATTCAACCGATAGCACACAAAATATAAGTAAAAATAATGCATAGGTAAATTAATAAGCACATGTTAAGGTAGAAAACATACTTTATAAAAACAGATATGAAGCGAAAATTAACTTTAAAAAAACCCATTCAAATATAATACAGAACTACAAAGGTACCCACAGAGCTGAGTTCTTAACTCATGTGAATCTCTGCGCATTTGGGTTTTACTACCCCCTGCCTTATATTTTTAATGAAAAAAACTATATCTTGGAAAAAATGTTATTGTGCTCCTCAATAAATAATGCTGGCTATGTATTTGTCCTTTTTGATAGCCATTCAAATAATGTGACTTAATCATCTGAAATAGAATCCAAGCATCTATTTGAAAATTTATCTTGCTACTTTTCATCCCAATGAGTTAAATTGTCTAGTTTTTCAAATATGTAACATAGGAAGAGGATTGAAACCCAAGGATTTAATGGAATCAAATTTAAGTAAAAGGAAAAGACGGTTAGAGGAACCCACTTCCTGTTTATATTCTCCTTGGATTGCAGCCAAAATAAATCCAATAAATTGAGTCTCCCTGGGTGTCCCTGAATTATTCTCTCACTCTCTTAAAGCAGAAATTGGGTTTTGCAGGGATATGGTGAACTAATAGTCAGTCAAAAACTCTGGTTTTGTGTTTATTAAATCAGAGGTCCCTAACTCCTGGTTTGTGACGCACCAGGCTGTGGCATGCCAGAAACCGGGCCACGCAAACAGCTGAAGCCCCATCCACAGGATGCAGACCACACACGAAATCATGTCCCCTCTGGTCCATGGAAAAACATCTTTCCACAGAACCAGTCCCTGATGCCCAAAAGGTTGGGAGCTATTCCCTTAGAAAATGGCATTTCCAACTTTTAAAAAATTTAATTATTGCTGATATTCCAATCTTTAGTCCCCAATATGATGGCAAGCTATTATTTCTAGGAGAGATATTCCAATCTATCTGAAAGGCACTAGATTACAGAAGGCTACACTATTCCCTTTTCTATAGAACACAGTTCCATGTTAGAGATTACTTGAGAAGTTTCCCCATTTTGTTAAAAGCTACTGTTCCAAAATAAATTTAGGGACATTTTTAGAGATGCACAGATACAAATATATAGTTATAATTTTATAACTCTAGCGAACATGCTTAAGACACATTTCATTTATTGTTTGTTTAACAATGATTTATTGAATAAACTACAATTGGCTGAGTTTGTTTAATATAGAGATATGGATTGTGTAATTTCCAGGGCTCTACAGAGTTGGGTACCTTTGATAAGTTTAATATATAAGGTAAAGGGCTTTTTGTTTTTATTAATTTTTTTGTTATGTTTACACCATTTTGTTTAATTGGATATTTTTCTTTAATGTATACAGGTGTTTTATTTGTTTTGTACTGTAATTAATATTTCCAAAAATAATTGTTTTAAAAGAAAAAGGGATAATAGGAAGTCTCAAACCCCTATTTGGCTGGTGCAAATTGCTTTTGGGCCCTTAGGTAATTGGAGGATGAAGGGCACCTGATGATCACCTTCCTTCTGTTTGGAGGAATATGACTACTGCTGTACCAGTCAGGACTTTACTGGCTGAAGGCATAGCATCGCAACAACAGTTTGACATGTTTGTAAGCCTAACTTTGTGAAAGACATGGTGACAGCCGATCCTACTTTCAGGTGTAATGTTTGGACACAATAGAATGGCTATTCTTCCCAAAACATGGGCAGGCCTCACAAGGATGCATGTAATCCATGGGATGTATGTTGTGTAGGCCTTTTCTAGAGAGACTTCACAAACAGAAGCTTTTAAGAAACTCCCTTTGTCTCCCGCTTTTGTCTCTGGCCACTACAGAGCACTTATTTTTCATTTTTTTTCTCCCACTTCTTCGGCAGCATTTGTGAGAATCTTAAAAACAGTTACTGCCCAAATAACTAGGTCTTCCTTGGTTGTGCACTGTTGACACTCAAGGATGTTAGTTCTTGGGGTATCGTTCATTTGATCAGTTAAATCATATAAGCAGACCCACTGGGTTTTTAAATGTGTAATGAGTACAGGGTCACTAGCAGAAATGGTTTACAGTAAGTTTCCTCAATTTATGATGATAACCAGTCAAGAAAACAACCAAGCTCAGAGAACACTAAGAATTCAACATTTAATCTATAGCATTATTCAGTGCTCAGAGTAATGTTTGAGATCATATGAGATGAATATCACAGTTACATTAAAGCAACCATGTCTATTTTCAGGATCACATTGTTGCTGCAGGAGGCTTCCGGAAATGCTGGAAGTGGCCACTTTTACAACCATTAAAACGATACGAAAGCTACCAGTGATGCAAAGACCCATGGAAAGATACATGCTCAGCATTACAAGATAGAAAGACCTGCATATGGATTAGAGAACTAGAGATAATATACGATATTATCAAGAGAGTAAAATAATTGAAATGGAAATGGGGCTGGTCACATAGCAAACATTTATTTATAGTGGGATATAATATGAACCTGACCTACTTATTACATACACATTAAACTTGATCTCTAAGAGGACAAGGCAGTGTAAGTAGCAATTTCCTAATTTTATTTCTACGAGAAACCTGTGAATTTAGTTGGATTGAGAAAATGGTTAATCCAAAATCATTCATAGAACTCTGTGGTTGAATAAGAGTATAATTCTAGTCTCCCCATTTCTGATTCATGTTTATTTATTTATTTATTTGTTTGTTTCAATTTGTATACCACCCTTCTCCAACAGGACTCAGGGCGGTGAACAGCCAAAATAAAAACAAAACATACAAAATTTAAAAACAGTTTAAAATAATTAAATATTTTTGGCCGCAATTTAAAACAAACCCAATTTAAAATCAATTAAAATTTAACCCAAAACTGTGGGATCAAGCCAGCCTGGCTAGTTGAAATAAATAAGTTTTCAGGGCCCAACGAAAAATCCGGAGGTCTGATATTGTACGTATCTCTGGGGGGAGGTTGTTCCAGAGGGCAGACGCCGCCACAGAGAAGGCTCTCCCCCTGGGGGTCGCCAGCCGACACTGTCTGGCGGACGGCACCCTGAGGAGGCCACTCTGTGCGAGCGTACTGGACGGTGGGAGGCTATTGGTGGCAGAAGGCGGTCTTGTAGATACCCCGGCCCTAAGCCATGGAGCGCTTTAAAGGTGGTCACCAACACCTTGAAGCGCACCCGGAAGACCACCGGGAGCCAGTGCAGCTCGCGCAGGAGAGGTGTCACATGGGAGCGACCCGTTGCTCCCATAATCCCCCGCGCGGCCGCATTCTGGACCAGCTGGAGCCTCCGGGTGCACCCCAGGGGGAGCTCCATGTAAAGAGCATTGCAGTAGTCCAGGCGGGAGGTGAGTGCCTGAGTGACCATGCGTAGAGAGTCCCGATCTAGAAAGGGGCGCAACTGGCGTATCAGGCGAACCTGATAAAAAGCCCCCCTGGTCACGGCCGTCAAATGGTCTTCTAAAGACAGCCGTGCATCCAGGAGGATGCCCAAGTTGTGAGCCCTCTCCGTGGGGCGGAGCTGGCTATATCGGGACGCCGGAAGCCACAGCCACTCGGTCTTGGAAGGGTTGAGTCGGAGCTTGTTTCTCCCCATCCAGGCCCGCACGGCTTCCAGGCATTGGGACATCACTTCAAGGGCATTGTTGGGATGGCCTGGGGTGATGATGTACAGCTGGGTGTCGTCAGCGTACTGATGGAACTCCACCCCGAAGCCACGGATGATGTCACCCAGCGGCTTTACATAAATGTTGAACAGAAGGGGCGAGAGGACCGACCCTTGTGGCATCCCACAAGCAAGATGCCTCGGGGTCGACCGCTGCCCCCGTCAACACAGATTGCGACCGGTCAGAGAGGTAGGAGGAGAACCACCGCAGAACGGTGCCCCCCACCCCCAGCCCCTTCAACCGGTGCAACATGATACCATGGTCGATGGTATCAAAAGCCGCTGAGAGATCTAACAGGACCAGGATAGAGGAGCAACCCCTATCCCGAGCCCTCCAGAGATCATCCACCAACACGACCAATGCCGTTTCCGTGCTGTGCCCAGGCCGGAAGCCGGACTGGAGCGGGTCTAGATAGACAGCTTCATCCAGGTACTGGGGAAGCTGCTGCACCACCATACTCTCAGCAACCTTCGCAATGAAGCGAAGGTTGGAGACTGGACGATAGTTAGCCAAAACAGCCGGATCCAGAGAGGGCTTCTTGAGGAGGGGCCTCACCACCACTTCTTTCAAAGCGGCCGGCAGGACCCCCTCACTCAGAGAAGCGTTAACAATCCTCTGGAGCCAGCCTCGTGTAACCTCCCGGGAAGCCAGTACCAACCAGGAGGGACACGGGTCCAATAAACATGTGGTCGCGTTCAGCCGTCCCAGGATCCTGTCCATGTCCTCGGGAGCCACAGGATCAAACTCCTCCCAGATAACGCTCTCAAGACCTGCCTCAGTCATCCCGTCCGGACATACCCAGTCAGAGGCCAGCCCTTCCCGAATCTGAGCGATTTTGTCATACAGATACTGCACAAAATCCTCAGCTCGACCCTGCAAGGGGTCATCCCGCGCTTCCAGATGGAGGAGGGAGCGGGTCACCCTAAACAGGGCGGCTGGGCGATTATCTGATGACGCGATAAGAGCAGCAAAATAGCTAGATTTCGCCACTTTTATCGCCACTAGGTAGGTCTTAATGTGAGACCTCACCCGTGTTCGGTCGGATTCGGAGCAGCTGGTCCTCCAGCTACTCTCCAGGCGTCTTTTCTGGCGCTTCATCTCCCTCAGCTCCTCGGAGAGCCAAGGAGCTAGGTGAGTTCGGTGCCGGGTCAGAGGCTGCAAAGGCACGACACGGTCCAAGGCCCCGGCGGCCGCACTATCCCAGGCGGCCACCAGGTCTTCAGCCAAGTCATGAGCCAGAGTCTCAGGAAATGGCCCAAGCTCCATCTGGAACCTATCAGGATCCATCAGGCGCCTGGGGCGGAACCACCTGGTCGGTCCCGCCTCCCTGCGGCGGGGTGCAGCGGTTAGAAAGTCCAGGTGAAGGAGCGAGTGGTCAGACCATAACAAGGGTTCGATGGCTATATCCCCTATATCAAGGCCACTCAACCACTGACCAGAGACAAAAACTAAGTCCAGAGTGTGTCCACTTGTGTGAGTGGGCTCATGAATTAACTGAGTAAGGTCCATGGCCGTCATGGAAGCCATGAACTCTCGAGCCACCTCAGACGTTTCACCGATAGATGGCAGGTTGAAATCCCCCATGACAGCAAGTCTGGGGGTATCAACCGCCACTTTGGCTATGACGTTGAGCAGCTCGGGCAGGGCCGTTGCCACGTGGCAGGGAGCCAGGTACGTGATCAACAAGCCCATCTGTACTCCACGACCCCACTTCACAAAAAGGGACTCACATCCGGCTATCTGTGGAACAGTGGTCTCCCTTGGATCCAGACCTTCCTTTATAATAACCGCCACCCCCCCACCCCTGCCCTGAGCCCTAAGTTAAATACATAGTCATTGCAAGATGCAAATCTGAGTCCTCAGGACAACATGCAATGCCCCCCCTCCCCAGGCCTAGATGCAGCCTTTATAGCTCCTTCATATTTGCTGCTGAATTCTAAAGTATTATGTCATGAAACTGAAAAAATTATGAAATACCGTACATAAAAGTGATCACATAAAGTATTTATTTAGATAATTTATCTGTTGTCCAATCTTAACTTACAAGGACATTTTCCTAAAAAAGCAGTTCTCGAGCATTAAACAGCATTAAAGAATAATTAATATCAAACATACACACTAAAACAGTACTTTTAAATCCAGATCCAAATTCATAAAAAACATAAAAGGAATCTTCTTGCTTGTAACAAGTTAGTGCATTCTGGGATAACAGTTTAGACTTTCTTTCATTGAAGAAAGCTATTGTATTCCCTTGTCCCCCCAACAATATAGACACCACTCTTGATGAGTCAAGAGGGACAATTTGAAGGATCACATTAGGCATTAGGATCCATTAGGCAAGTAAGCAATGAATGGGGAGAGAGAGATGAATTTTGGGAATGTAAATCAACAGAAAAATAATAAAAAATGGGAAATATAAAGTTTAGGGACTCAGAAAACTAAGTAGGAAATCTGAAAAGCAAAAAATTTTGGGACTTAGGCAACCAGAAAAAAGGGAGGCAGGAGAAAATATGCAGAGCTTTCTGCTTGTTTTTGTTTTTTGTTTTCCATTTCTCTTCAACCAATTCTCAATCTCCTGATCTCTGCAAATGTAGACTCTGATGTCAAAGGTCATGAAATACAAAATAAGCAACAAGATAAAAATAATGAGGTGGGAGGATCCAATGTCCAACAAATGAATATTCTTTCCTTCAATTAAGTTTTAATATGTGTCTAAAGTTGAAGGAATACACCATTATAATGTATCCCACACAATTTTGTGTGATCTTTAGATATGATAAGCATTCCTTATTTGATGCTCTCTGAGCTTATATAAAAATAAGAGCAAACCGCAGTCCCTACTAGCACTGAGGATGTTACCTAGTTTGGTAACGAAATGTCTGCACGAAAACCACCAAGCTCAGAGGACCCCACAGTTCAACCCTAAATTACAAGTATCTTCTATTGATACCTTCCACTATCTTACCTAAGTCTTTAGTAAAAATATTAATGGGTAGAGAGGCCCAGAATTGAACCTTTTGGCATCCCACCCCATTTGATTCTTCATTCTATTTACATTATGTAAAAAATAAAGATATGTCTACCCCATTTCCCACAATCAGTTAAATAAATAATCTAATAAAAAATTAAATAAGGAAAGTTTAGCAAGACGACTTCTTGAGAAATCCATGCTGAGCAATGTTATCAAGCTGTTATATAGAAGACCGTCTCCTCAGAGCTAAAGTAATTTTATTCCAATGTGCATTTGGCCCTTCAATTGGGTTAGTTTAGTTTTAAATACACTTAATGATACAATTAATGTTTTTAATAATATTCTTTTGACATTTATTTATTAAATGTCCAATCATAGACCAAAACAGCAATAAGAATTTAAATAAACCAGATAAAATAAGCAGCAGTAGATTTTTAAAAAACTGTAGGAAAGAGGAAAAAATAGATAATAGCACTATTGTAAATAATATTCATAGATAAAAAGGTCCTCTAGAACTTCTAGAGCCAGTGTAGGAAGCAAAAATTATAAAATTAGAGCACAACATATCATCCTGAACAATCAGCAAACTATAAAAAAAATACTTTGTTGACCTATTAAAACAGACTATGCAATGCATTTCGAAGAATCCCAAATGCTTTGACATATGCTTTCAGAAATCAGTGCAGTCTTCTTGAAATTTCTTGGAACCAGGTCCACATCCACGTCTGTGTTTAAATGTGGAGACCAAATTCTCTTCTGTTTGTTCTTGAGGTAAAAGCATGCTAGTAAGCAAAATAGGATCCTGTTTATGTTCCACTTCATAAAAAGGGCAAGTTTTCAAGTGTACAGCTATGGATGGAATATTGCTGAGTTGCCACCTATTGATAGTTGAGAACAGAGTGCTAAATTTCCAGATCTAGCAAAAGAGATGAACAAAAGAGAATAAGAAAATATCAGTATTGTGATAATAAAATATTGCAAATAACTCTTCCCTATATGAACCAAAGGAAAGCATGAACAATATTTGTATATTAATTATTTCAATAAATTTGTCATGGTGAAAACAGGAAAGTGTTTGTGTTATTTTATTTATTAAATTTATGTGGCCACCGATCTCATTGAAAGAATAAATACTATCTGATTTTTTTAAAAAAATGAAAGATAGTATCAATTATATGAGATAAATAACTTTTTGATTTTAACAGAATATTTAATGATGTATACTGTAAGTGCTTTAGCTCAAAACACTAAAAATCCAGCACCTATTTTTTTAGATGTTGGAAAAGCATTTTATATGATTTCTTTAAAACTCTTGGACAAGTACTGGTTTAGCATAGCTATCCATTGTTTTATAGCCTGTATTGGTTTTTTTTAAAACTACTAAGACATATGTTACTACCCTTTTTTAAAGAGCATTTCAGAATTAGAGATTTTATTCAAACACAAAGATTGTCAGCGTTCCAGAAAGTCCCCAACTCCAAGTAAAAAAGCTATGGAAGCCATATTAGCATCAGAAGCTTCCATGCTGCCACAGATGATGACTATTGTGCTTGTTGTCAGGAAGACTATGCTATCTGTGGTATCTGTTGATAAATAAAGTGTTCTCTATAGGAAGAAACATTTTTATTTTAATGTAATTCCAAGGCCCATTTTTTATCTATATACCATCTGAAGTTGAATTAACAAATTGTTGGTTAAATGCTTTAGTTGAGATGGTTGGAAATGGAAATTATAGTAAAAATTCTAGATAACTTTAGCTATAGATGTGGTATGGGCAAAGATATTAATATATTTTTTATTTGAATGTTCATATTTCCTTGATTCAAATTCAAAATATATAATCCTTTGGATTCATGGAGGATCTAAATAAGATCCAACTTGGAACTAAAGAGAAATTTCCTGACAGTGAGAACAATTAACCCAGGGGCAGTGGTAGGATTCAGCCGGTTCTCTCTGGATCGCGCGAACAGGTAGTGGAGATTGGGGGAGGGTCCACCCACCCGCCCAGATGTAATGCACAACCACTGTAAATGCACAGAAGGCTGTGCACATGCGCAGAGGTGGCACATGTGCTCACATTTGCGAACCAGTAGGGGAAGCAAGTGAATCCCACCTCTGCCCAGGGGTCTCTCTAGTCCATGGACCAACACCAGTCCGCAGCATGCCAGAAACCGGTCCGCACAAACAAGTGAAGCCCTACTCGCAGGGTTGCAAGCAGCACATGAGATCACCCCTCTTCCAGTCTGCAGAAAACCTCTCTCCATGGAACCAGTCCCTGATGCCCACTGGGGGCCACTGAATTAACCAACAGAACAGCTTACCTCCCAAAGCTATGGGGGTTTTCTAGAGGTTTTCAAGAAAAGATTAGAAGCCATTTGTCCAAGATGGAATCAAGTATCCTGCTTGGGCAGGGGGTTGAACTAGAAGATCTCCCAAGGTCCCTTTCAGCCCTATGATTCTATGATCTTTCCTATAGATGTTATCACCTAGCCAGGTTTGCAATAGGAAATATTGTCCCTCAGATTGTCAACTTCTAAGTCATTTCTTGTTTCAGGATTAACTGTAATGCACTGTTCTACCTGTGACAAAATTGATATTCAATACAAATCTCTAATTCTAAGTATCATATGATCTTTGAACTTTGCACTGTTAACTGCCAAGCTGCCTCATTTTACACCAGTGGTAAATTCTGACACTTGTAAAAACAGTCCTAGATTTTGTACACTCTAATAATCCAAAGATTATTACACTCTAATAATCCAAATCATATTCTTGACTCTTTCAAGGACGTTATCAGCTGGTACTGTAGTCATAATTACATAAAGATGCTCTTCACCCCAGATGAGAGATAACAATCAAAGAGCTGCATATCTTCTTTCTGAGGCAACATAACATCACACAAAATAGGATGAAACTCAGTCTCCATGCACAGCTTCTACTGACTAACACCAGTCCCTCTTGCCTGAATTTAATCAGTCAGCTGCCTATGGTTCGGCCAATCATTTTGAAATTTGTCATTTGGAGACTCTGACCCTTCATTTGAGAAGTTTAAATCAAATCCTATAATCATGCAATTCTGCTTGTCACAGGATTGTTTAAACTATGGTATGTTCATGCTTAACTAAAATTACAGGTAGTCCCCAACTTTAGACCACAACTGAGCCCAAAATTTCTTTTGCTAAGTGAGACATTTGTTAAGTGAGTTTTGCCCCATTTTACAATCTTTCTTGCCATAGTTATTAAGTGAATCACTGCAGTTGTTCAGTTAGTAACCTGGTTGCTAAGTGTATCTGCTTCCCCATTGACTTTGCTTGTCAGAAAGGTCACAAAAAGTAATCTCATGACCCTGGGACCCTGCAAGTCATAAATATCAGTTAATTGCCACGTGTCTGAATTTTGATCACATGACCATGGAGATGCGGCAACTGTTGTTAAGTGTGAAAAATGGTCATAAGTAACTTTTTTTCAGTACCATTGTAATTTTGGACAATCACTAAACGAATGGCTATAAGTTGAGGACTACCTGCACTTCGTAATGCTAAAAATATCCATAACTTAGAAGCCAGTATAAATATCTCTCTGTCCTTCTATTTGGATAATTCTGCTGTATTTTTCGGTACTCCCAGCACTTACCTTTCCACAGACTCTCCATGATGTTCTTCCATGAGAATATCTTTTCTTTTTCCATAGCAGAAAAACCATTCCTCTTTCATGCAGCAGAGTAGCACAGATATCCCTCATTTGTACTGACACCTGAGCCAGTTGAGACAAGCTAACACTATCCAAAAATCCAGCAATGTACTTCAGAATCTCCAAGGGAAGATTAGTTAGAGCAATCCTTTCATTTCTTTGTCTACTTCTTATAAAGTTACTTTTCTTGGCTTCTGAGAGCACAGGATCAATCTCTGGCTTAACAGCAAACGCCATGAGGTGCTGATTGTAGATAACATTTGTCTTTTGCCCAGAAGGATGCCAAGGATATTGAACAAAAGTGCATCCTAAATAGGCAAGTGGGCAGCGACGCTGGAACCACCCATCTAAGGAGGACTGGATATCTGCATGAACATTCTTGAAATGTGAAGAAAACTCATCTCTCCTAAAAAAGTGGTTGCAGGAGAATGTAAATGCAGAGCTGCTTTTGTTGTATCTTTGGGTTACACTCTCACTATGGAGATGCAGATGGAGATCCAGTGGGTCTTTTGTATCTAAAATATCTGCTAGAACAGCTCTTGAAGAAAAAGGTTGGGCAACAAAGCTGTATGTTTGAGTCCCAATATCCACATATAAGGCATCAGTGGACTTTGTTTTAGATATCTCATGACCTTTTAGTTCCCTCTCAAGAGCGCACAACAGTGTAGATTTTATTGTATTTGACTTGGGAAGTTCCTCAACATCTACGTCCAACTCTGAAGTATCCAGGGATATGCTCTTACCTGGCTTTTTATGTGCCAAAGGATCCCCAAGCTTTGCTCTTTTGCCACAGTAACTAACTGGCGGTCTGAAGGTGGTCTCAGTCTTCAGTTCCTGAACTTCCAGGTTTCCATATACAAAGTCTTTTTCTCTGGGAGTGCAAGCAGGCATCTGACCAAAATGAATGAGCATCCTTCCATGGTGCACCAAGTACATGTTATACTCCCCAACAGGAACCTCATTCTTCAGCCTCTCTAGCACTCCATCTTGCCAAGGAGCCAACCCTGTTTTTTCAGCTGCTAAATTGATTTGATGGATTTTGTTTTTTTCAGTGTCTTCTGTACCGCTGGCTGCTTCCACAGTGCTACCAGAAGCATGTTCTTTACGTGGAGATCCACTTTCAGATGCATTTTTTGTATTGCTGGGTGACAGGTCTGCTGCTTGGCATGCTTTAAATTCTTTACTAAACATATTTTCCCAGCTTTTGTAACCAATCAAATCCACCCCTTCTTTATTTTTTGCCAGATTTTCACGTTCCTGCTGGGTGAGCACAACTGCCTCAGCTTCATTTGTTGTGCCCTGCTCAGCAATTCCTCCAACAGCTTTTTCTTCAAAATAGTCAATATCATCTGTTGTTTCTTCCAGGGTACAAGCCCCTCTGCATTCTGGGAAGAGCTCAGCCATTTTGAGTGCTTTAAAGAGAGCTGCCTGATCTCTCAGAGCTATGGCTACATCCAGGCACTCATCCTTGGACTGTTGCTTCATAATGTTCTCATGAAGAATGGCTTCAGAATCCGCACATGGCCAGCGGTTCCATTCCATAGAACAGGAAACTATGCTGGCGGGGCAAACTTGGAGATGTTTTGCCACTTTAAAACGGGCCATTGTAAAAGGACAGCCATAAACAGAATTTATGCATGAAACTTGTTCCTGGGGACACAGGAGTTTATGATCATCTTCTTTGCACATATGAAAGACAGCACCACAGTGAGAGTGGCAGCTGATCACTACACATGAGACTGAAGGCTCTGCTGGAGCTTGGCAGTATTTGTTGAAACACTTCTCACAGTGCTTATGTAGTCCAAGTGGAGTCTGCCGTCTGCTAATCTAAAGGAAGGCAGGGGAGAAAAGGTGAAGCAAGTATTCAAAGCATTTTGGAACACTGAAACAATGTTTATAGCTAAAAGAATTCTGCATGTTGAAATGTACATGAAATATTTTGCACAAAAAAGGTTTGGCAGATAACCAGCCACTTTCAAAATAACTATGACATGTAGCTACAATTTTAATATAAAAATCAAGTAATTCAGGTTCATCCATAACCAATAAGAAAATTAAGGCTGTCTGAATCATTGCAAAACATAAATCCTGAACCTATAATGAAAATAGAATAGAATAGAATAGAATAGAATAGAATAGAATAGAATAGAATAGAATAGAATAGAAATTTTATTGTCACTTTAAATGTACACTTAATCAGCATACATTAAAATGAAATTTCATTGAATTCAGCTTTCAAAAGCTATATTTTGCATATACATATATACATACATACATATATATATACATATATATAGCTTTCCTCGCACAAGCACGAAGCCAAAGACCCCAGCCTGAAGATGATGAGTGGGACCTCGTCAAAACGTCGCCAAGATACTCTCAATCTTACATGGGAAAAGACCCGAATACACCAAAACTTGCATGTGTGTGTGTGTGTGTGTGTGTGTGTGTGTGTGTGTGTGTGTATGACATAGAGAAATATCACAATCTAGTTCAAATGTATACATATGCATGGTGAAAAAAAAAAAATCCTGCAAGTTTACAAGACGGATGGCATAAGGAACTAGTTAGTCCTGCTATAGATACTTTGAAAGCTCTTCCCAGAGGGGAGTAACAGAAACAGACCATGAGGTGGGTGTGTAGGGTCTCTAATGATACTTCGAGCTCTAAGCACATAGCACTTAGAAGCAGTATCCTGAGTAAGGGGAAGTGAACTTCCTATAATCTTCTCAGCTGTCCTTACCACTCTCTGTATGGACCTTCTATCTGAGGTACTGCTACCACCAAACCAAACAATGATGCACTTGTTAAAACGTTCTCAATCGTGCCTCTGTAAAAAGTAGCCAGGACACAAGGAGAAAGGTGTGCTCTCCTCATTCGATGCAGGAAATGCAGACGCTGGTTTGCACACTTCAGTAAGGATGATGTTTTGGAGAGACCAGATTGTTAGTTATCTGCACCCCCAGATACTTAATACTATTGACCACCTCCACAGCTGCAGCTTTGATACAAAGCTGGCTCTTTCTAAAATCAACAATGATTTCCTTTGTTTTGTTAACATTCAAAACTGAGTTATTTTTATTGCACCAGTCTACCAAAGCCTTCCACCTCCTCCCTATAAGAATCTTCATTGTTATCCTGGATAAGCCAAGTCATCCGCATACTTCACAATATGATTCATAGTAGACTTGGCACAGCATTCATGGGTGATCAAGGTGAACAGTAACAGATTCAAGACACAGCCCTATGGGGAACCTATACTCAAGGAGATGGAATTAGAACTTTCCTTCCAATTCGCACAAACTGGGGCCTATCAAAAAGGAAATCAAGTATCCAGTTACATAAAGAAGTATTAAAACCTAATAGGCCCAGTTTGTTCACCAAATGCTGAGGAATGATTGTATTGAACGCCGAACTAAAATCAACAAACAGCATTTGCATAATGAGTATTCTTCTCCTCCAGGTGTGCCAAACTAAGATGAAGCACACAGGAAAATGCATCATCTATAGAGCGGTTCTTCCGATAAGCAAACTATAATGAGTCAAATGTAGGGGGAAGGCATGAAACCATATAGTCCTTTATCAATCTCTCAAAACACTTCATCATAATGGAAGTGAGAACAACTGGACGGTAATCATTAAGACATGTAATTTTAGATTTTTGGGGGACTGGTACAATGGTTGCAGTCAGGGCCGGATTTTCCTATAGGCTAACTAGGCTTCAGCCTAGGGCCTCAAGATCAAGAGGGGCCTACACAGTGGTGGGATTCTGGGGGTTCTAGGGGGTTCGGCCGAACCCTTTGTTAAATTGCTGGCCCGCCCGCCCCTCGCCTCCCACCCGCACGGCGCTAGCCTACCGTAGCCAGGGGTAGGCAATTGTGGCTCTTTTACAACCTGTGGTCTTCAACTTCCAGAATTCCTGAGACAGCTTGGCTGGGAGTTGAGGCCACAGGTTGTAAAAGAGCCACCATTGCCCACCCCTTCCCTAGCCTGAGTTCCGCGGCCTGGGATCCACATGGGCTGCCACGTGGTTCCCCACCGGCTCCGGACGCAAGAGAGCAGGATGGAGAAAGCAGCTTCCACGCCTTCACTCACCCTCACTCTCTGCTCTGTTGGATCGCCGGCCGTTCGCTTACCCCGCCCACTCCCCATCTATTGCTGCCTCCGATGGCTAGAGGGAAAAAAAACTTCAAATTCTTGCTGCGGGACTTCAAAGGGCCGCCCTAGAGCCAGTGGTGCAGCCGAACCCTTTGTTAAATTGCTGGCTTGCCCCGCCCCTCCGCACCACTATTTGCTGATAAATAGTGGTGGGTGAGGGGCGGGGGAGCCAGCAATTTAACAAAGGGTTCGGTGTTTTTTTGTAATTTTATTGGCCCCCGGAGCGTCAGCAGAGGCTAATTAGCCCTTGCTTAGATCGGCTCCCGACCCCCAGCTGATTTGCTCTCAGCTGTTTTGCTCAGGGCTCTTTTGCTTGCTTGGAAAGAGTGCAGATTTTTTTCCCCCTAGCTATACTGAAAAACGAAAGAGAAAGTAAAGCAGGCTGTTGGCTTTGCACGTTGGAAAATTAGGCAGGCAGATTTCTTTTTCCTCACCAAAAAAGGTAGGTGCAAACAACGGGAAATTTAGGGGAAAAGAGGAGATTTTAAAACACAAAAGAAAAAAAGCTCTATTTAACTAGGGAATTGTAATAATTGAGATACTATTAATTGTATATTTCTGAAAGCAGAAATGGTTAAGTTGTGGTTTGGAGGAATATATGGGGGAAATTATTTGGTTTATTATTATTGGTAAATATAATTAATTGATTTGTAACAAATTGGATTGCATGGAAATAATTGGAATATTCATGTTCATATTGATTAATATACAAAAAAGGTAGTTATATAACTAATTGATTTATATTAAAATGTTGAATTTATATTAAACAACTAATATTACATAATTAACCAATGTGAGGATGGATATAAAAATAGATGACAATGGGAAGGGGTATAATATAGAATAGAAGGGAAAAATTGAATTTGATTAAGATTAAAGATGAGGATGAAGGGTAATATTGGTTTTTTACAAAAATAGATGAGGAATAAATATGGCAAAAAGGAAATATAGAAATTGTACATTTAATTGAAATGACTAAACACTGTTTAAATTTGTGAACCGGCCAAATACTCTGTTCAAAGAAAATACATTGTATGTTTGTATGTGTGTTTCTAATTATTGTTATTTATTCATACTTGTTCTCTTTTATTTTTTAAAGTTTAACAATTCATTATTTTATCTTAATATCTTTATATTTGTTTGGGGTTGGCTTTCTTCCCTTTCATCTTTTTTATTGTACAGCAATCTTTCTCCTCAAACCTACCACCTCTCTTTTCTTTCCTTCTTACTTTCTCTTCCTCCCCCTCTTCTTCTCCCCTCTCTACTTCCTCTTCCTTTCTCCTTCTCCTCCTCTCTTCCTCCCTCTCTTACCCTCCCTCCTACTCTAATTTCCCTTCCCTTCCTTCATCCCTCTCTATTGCTGTATCCTTTTATGCATATGGACTACTCAGAGGGCTGAAAAAGTTATTTCTGACTGGTCCTCGCACTTTTGACCAGTCCTCGAACTTACAACTGTCCTCACATTTTACGTTTTTGCCCTATCTTGTCACCATGGTGAAGAGAAGCAGTTGTGAAATGAGTGACATGGTTGTTAAGAAAGCTGCACGGGCATAAATGTGAGGATGGTCATAAGTGTGAGGACCGGTCAAAAGTGCGAGGCCCAGTCAGAAATAACTTTTTTCAGCCCTCTGGGTAGTCCTTTTGTGCATATGGACTACTCAGAGGGCTGAAAAAGTTATTTTTGACTGGTCCTCGCACTTTTGACCAGTCCTCGAACTTACGACTGTCCTCACATTTTACGTTTTTGCCCTATCTTGTCACCATGGTGAAGAGAAGCAGTTGTGAAATGAGTGACATGGTTGTTAAGAAAGCTGCACGGGCATAAATGTGAGGATGGTCATAAGTGTGAGGACCGGTCAAAAGTGTGAGGCCCAGTCAGAAATGACTTTTTTCAGCCCTCTGAAAAAAGTCTATGCACATAGCCACGCCCACCCGGTCACATGACGAGCTACCCACGCCTACACAGTCACGTGACCAGCTAGCCATGCCCACCCAGTCACATGATTGCCAAGCCACACCCCCAAATAAGCCACGCCCACAGAACCTGTTGTTAAAAAAATTGAATCCCACCACTGGTGAAAGGGCCTCATAAGTGGAATAGCCTAGGGCCTCTTTTCATCTAAATCCGGCCCTGGTTGCAGTCTTAAAACATGATGGAACCACGGCCTCATGCAACAAAAGATTGAATATGTCTGTAAGAACAAAGGCCAGCTGGTCAGCACATGCCTTAAGTACTTGCCCAGGGATATTATCGGTAGTGAAATTTATTTCGCCTTTACCCAAGCCTACTTTCTCTTTTAAATGTGATTGTCAGCCTTCAATCAGAGAAGAAGCAACCAGTGTTTGACCAACACTTAATTGGAGAGAAATCAGGCCTAAATTGAACCTGCCTGGAAGCGTACTACAGTTAATCTTCAATTTACTACCACAATTGAGCAAGGCAGTTGTTGAGTTATGCCCCATTTTATGACCTTTTTGCCACAGTTGATAAGCAAATCACTGCAGTCGTTAAGCAAATCTGACTTATCCCATTGACATAGTCTTGGTGGTGCAGCAGACTAAAGCACTGTTAAGTAACACCAGCTGCCTGCAATTACTGCAAGTTCAAATCTCACCAGGCTCAAGGTTGACTCAGCCTTCCATCCTTTCGAGGTAGGTAAAATGAGGAC